TTCTAGACCGGCAGATTCGTCAATTGAGATCAAAGAGTTTCCTTCTGTTCATGTTCAGTGGAGAGGTCAGCCTCCTGAGGTATCGACCTAGCAGTCCGAGTCCGATATGCGGAGCCGTTATCCCCATCTTTCCCCCGACTCAGGTACTTCCTTCTTCTGTCCGTTCGAGGACGAACAATTGTTTTAGAGGTGGAGAATGTTATGACCTTTTTTCTGTGTTCTGAGGCATTAAAAATCTCTCTTAGCATCACCTCGATTTGCGTGCGCAGTCGGGGCGCGTAGCCGGAAAGCCTAAATGTGAAAATCTGTGAAAAATGATAAGTTTTGACTATAAAATGAATTAATTTGACTTTTGTCAACATTTTGGGTAAATGAACCCGGACCCGTGATTTAACGGTCCCGGAGGGTCCGTAGGAAAATATGGGACTTTGGCGTATGCTCGAAATCGAATTCCGAGGTCCCAAGCCCGAGAAATGGATTTTTGAAAGAAATTATTTTCTGAAATTGTTTATAAGGTTTGGAAATGAATTTTGACTAGAACATATTGGTATCGGGCCGGTATTTTGGTTCCGGTGCTCGGTACAAGTCTTATATATAATTTAAGATAATTATGTGAAGTTTGGTAAGAAACGGAATCCATTAGACGTGATTCGAACCTTAAATGCAAATTTGATGTTTAAAGAAGTTTTGAGAAATTTCATTGATCTTGAGGTTTAATTCGATGTTCATGATGTTATTTTAGTTATTTGAGTACACGAATAAGTCCGTAGGATATTTTTGAGGTTGTGTGTATATTTGGTTTGGAGCCCCGAGGGCTCGAGTGAGTTTTGGATAGGCCACAGGGTGAAATTTTGGACTTAAGAAATTGCAGGCCTCCAGGCTTCGCATTTCCCAAACTTTTTTCGCAATTCCCAGGCTTGTTCGCATTTCCCAAACTTTTTTCGCAATTCCCAGGCTTGTTCGCATTTCCCAAACTTTTTTTCACAATTTCCAGGTTCGCATTTCCCAAACTTTTTTTGCAATTCCCAGGCTTGTACGCATTTCCCAAACTTTTTTCGCAATTCCCAGGTTCGCATTTCCCAAACTTTTTTCGCAATTCCCAGGTTCGCATTTCCCAAACTTTTTTCGCAATTCCCAAGCCAACAGAGGTTGGTTCGCAATTGCGAACCCCTGTTCACAATTCCCATAACTGAGACCTGCAACTTTTATACTTAGCCGATTTTAGACCCATTTTTCACATCTTTTCAAAACATAAACACACTAGGGCGATTTTTCAAGAGCAACTTTCCTTCCAAATCAATTGNACACAGGTTTATTTGGTAGTCTGATCCTAGCCTCGTCACTACTTCGTCGAGGTTAGGCTAGACATTTACCAGCACATGGGGTCGGTTGTGCTGATACTACCCTCTGCACTGTGTGCAGATCTAGGAGCAGCTTTCGGACAGTAGTTGGAAGGCTTCCTTCAGTCCACTCGGAGACCCAAGGTAGACCTGCAGGCGTCCGCAGGCCCTGACGTCTCCCTCTATCTCTATTTCCTATTTCATTTCCTTTTGTTCAGAAACAGCGTATTGTATTTCTTCAGACCTTGTATGTAGTAACTCTTAGACATTTTGTGACACCAGGTTTTGGGGTATTTAAGGTTTTAAAAGTTGTAATAGACGTAGCCTTAAGATATATAATTATTGACTTCCGCTTATTTATTTAAAATTCCGCTTTTATCATATTATCGACTTGTGTTTGTTAAAAAGAAGCAAAAATGAAAGTGTAGCAAGTAGTTAAGGTTTGGCTTGCCTAGCTCCCATTAGTAGGTGCCATCACGACTCCCGATGGTGGGAAATCCGGTCGTGACAGTATGCTTTGAAACCTTAAGGTCTTCAATCTAGATAGTGTTTCGACTGTCCTAGTCGGACATCTGCACGAAGGTTAGTGTATGATATAAACAAAAAAGAGGAATGGCTATACCTTAGTGGCGATAGTGCTTTGAGCCTCGATATGCTCCCAACATTCACTTAGGGGATGTGGTATAGTCCTTTGTTCGTTTTATTTGGGTGTAGCCGAGGATGTGCCTCGTGAGCACTATTTTACTGTTTGCTTATCCTTTGTCAAAGGCGTTGATGCTGGTGCCACATCATGCATCGCGAACATCTCCTTGGCCGCATGTTATTTCCCATATACGGTTTTTATTCCATCTTTCGTAGGAAATTTCATCATTTGATGCAGGGTTGACGGTACCGCTCTCATGCAGTGTATCCATGGCTTTCTGAGCAAGGCGTTGTACCTTATGTCTCCTTCGATGACATGAAACTTAGCATTTTGTATTGTTCCAACCACATTGACCGGGAGGGTGATTTCCCCTTTGGTTGTCTTGCTCGCCATATTGAATCCTTTGAGGACTCGAGAGGCGGGCATGATTTGGTCGAGCAGTCCAAGCTGCTCCACAGCCCTTGACCTGATAATGTTGGCTGAGCTACCTGGATCCACAAGTAGACGTTTAATTTGAAATGTATTCACAAGGAAAGAAATTACCAGTGCATTGTTATGAGGCTGAGACGGGGTCTCGATGTCCTCGTTGTTGAACGTGAGAGCGTCCTCGGGTATGTAACCCCGAGTCCGCCTTTCTCTAGTAATGGATAATTTTGTTCTTCTGATAGTAGGTTCTTGTGGGACGTTGGTTCCTCCCATGATCATGTGGATGATATGTTGCGGCTCATATGTTTCATTTTTCCTGTTCGCCTTTCTTTCCTGGAACTAATTTTTGGCTGGGTCGCTGAGGAACTCTCGGATATGTCCTTTGGTGAGTAGTCGAGATACTTCTTCCCAGAGTTGTCTGCAGTCTTTGGTCTTGTGACCGTGTGCGCTGTGGAATTCGCACACTAAGTTGTGATTTCTTTGTGATGGATCCGATTGTACGGGCCTTGTCCACCTAGCATCTATGATTTTGCCAATGGCAGATATGATGCCTGACACGTCAATGTTGAAGTTGTATTCTGACAGGTGTGGTGCCTCCGTCGATCCTGTATGGCTATTGAATTCAAATCTACTCACGAGTCCCCGAGCGTTCTGACCTCGGTCTGTTCTTTGATCATTTCGGGGTATGTTACGCCTCGGGGCGTTTCTCTTATCTTTGGTGTATGTCTGGTACCTTTCTTTGTTTGGTTTTGGACTTTTTCCAGAAGTTTGCTTGGGTATACCGAGCCCGAGGGGGCTCCTAGTTGGTCGTCCTTGACCCGGATCTTCGATTGATATTGGTTGCGAAGATCCGGTCAAGTCACAGCGGGGTACTCAACCAAATTCTTCTTCAGCTGTTTCGAAGCCACCGAGCTTCGTTCGTTCAGACCTTGGGTGAAGGTCTGCACTGCCCAGCCATCGCAGACTGGTGGTAACTCTATCCTCTCCATTTGAAAGCAGGATACGAATTCTCGCGGCATTTCATTTTCCCTTTGTTTGATTTTGAAGAAGTTGAATTTTCTTGTAGCCACCTTGATGGCACCGGCATGTGCCTTTATGAAAGAATCTGCTAGCATGGCAAATGAGTCTATTGAATTTGGAGCTAGGTTATGATACCACATCATGGTCCCTTGCGAAAGTGTTTCCCCGAACTTCTTCAACAGGATGGATTCGATCTCGTCGTCCTTCAGGTCATTTCCCTTTACGACACAGGTGTAAGTTGTGACGTGCTCGTTGGGGTCCGAGGTCCCATTGTATTTTGGGAGATCAGGTATTCTAAATTTCTTCGGGATAGGCTTTGGAGCCGCACTAGACGGGAACGACTTTAGTACGAATTTTTTCGAATCAACACCCTTCAGTATCGGGGGTGCGCCCGGGATCTGGTCAACCTTTGAATTGTAGGTTTCCACCTTTTTGTCTTTGGCTTCTATCATCTTTTCGCCTGATTCAATCCTTTTTGTGAGGTCCTCGAGAATCTTCATAATAGCGGGATCAGTTGCCGACCTGTTGTTACTCTACCTTTCCGGTGACTGTTCGGTCCGAGGGGCCGTTCCCGGGGCCGCTGTACTTGGGGTTTTTTTTGTGGCTCTGCAGTTGATTTTGATTTTGTGGTAAATTGCCCAGAAAACTGCCTGTTTTGGCAGTTGATTTTGATTTTGATTTTAAAATGGTAATAACAATTAGATTTGATTTTGTGGTTCTAAAAATACGTGATCTATTTTTATGCTAGTTGTTTAGACAATAGATGCTAAGTGAAAAATCAAAAGATAAGACAAGAACTCGTAGACAGTGCAATAATCAAACCAAATGGTTGGAAACCGGGGCCTCGAGCTTGCGTTTTCTGGGCCTCGAGGTCGAGCTGGATGCCCGACTAAGGGCAGTCGATGGAGGATTAACAGTTATGATAAATTTGACGGCGGCTCTTTATGGCCAATAATGAGCAATAACTGAAGAACAATAAATAGAACACTGTGAATGCAAGCAATAAATGTAAATAATGGAGTCAAGAGAGAATGTGTTAGAGAGCAAAGAGAATGTTCTTGTATATTCAATGTTGTAAGAATGATATCTATTGTGTGTCCCATCCGCAAAATAACAAGGATCCCCTTTATATATGAGAAAAAATTTTAACGTAATACAAATGCATTTATTACAAAGATATATGGCTGATACAGTCATTTAATGCCACGGTACAGCTCATGCTAGCCTAATAGACCTAGGTCAGCTTTAATCACGTGCTTTGGGAACTTCCCATCTGTCCATCATAGCCTTTGATTTGTACTGTCTCAGGGTCGACCGTTGAGAACCCTCGGGGGCGAACTCCGAACTAAACTTCGAGCCTTCCGGGGGTGGTCTCTACGAGGCGGCCTAACAATCATAAAGTCGAGCCCTCCGATTTTACCGTGTACAAATAGGCTAGCGTGAAGGCTAATGTGCCGTCAATGGTCCCTATACTGTTCTCTATTAAATATACGAAATTAATAATTCCCCACTTGTTTGCATTAGCCTGCCATATATGTACTACTCTAATATTGTATTTCTTTTTTGGGGGCGTCTGTTTGTCTAATTTTAGTGTTTCTTACAAGTTTACTAAAAGAAAGAAAAGAGATGAGGTTTTGGTTCTCACGAGTCTTTCCTTAATCATTTCTTCTCTATTTATATCCTCTTTCTGGTGGTTGTGAAAGATAAAAATAGAAAAACAGAAAAAAGATGTCCTCATCTTTGTCTTCTTAGGGTTTCAGATCCTTTCCATTTATGTCTTAACCAAAAATTTTCTTCCTTTATTTTTCTTCTTCCATTTTTCAGATCTGAGACACCCATTAAAAGGTTTTTGTCTTGTTTTATTCCTGTTGTATAAATCAATTCTTATCTTCTCCAAAAAAAAACCTTTCTATTTATAGAAACTTATCATGGATGCTAGTATTTCTTGAATATTATTTTGTATTTTAATCTGAAAAGTAATTGAGACTCTCTAACAGTTTACAATATCTGCCATTTTTTCTTTTTCCACCTGAGATTTTTGAGAAGAAGTAGTATTTAAAAGTAAGAAAAAAAGATGGTGAGAGGAAAAACTGAGATGAAAAGAATTGAAAATGCAACAAGTAGGCAAGTGACTTTCTCAAAAAGAAGAAGTGGAATTCTTAAGAAAGCATTTGAGCTTTCAGTTCTTTGTGATGCAGAAGTTGCCCTTATTGTTTTCTCTCCAAAAGGAAGGCTTTATGAATTTTCAAGTTCCAGGTACACATTAATTATATCTTCATTTTCTTGTTTTTTTCACTACTTTTATCATAATTTTATGTGTATATATAGCTAGAATCTTTATTTAACCAACTTATATATACAGCTCTTTAGGATTTATCCATTATTCAGACAATTACACTAAATGAACCAAGTACAATGATCATCTGCTTTATCTGTCCAAAAGGGTCCCTTGTTTTTCTGCCTTATTGTTTTTGTTGTATTAACTTCTCTTGATTCTCCATCAGTCAGATTTATACCAGATTAAAGAGGGGAAAAAAAAAACTTGTTCTCTTGGGGACTTCGTTAGTGAGCAAGAATATATGTAGTAGTGTGTTACCAATACAATAATCTTTTGAATGATTTATGTGTCACTTATTCCCCCCATATTCCCAAATGAATCCGTACATTGAACTATTATTTACAATTGGTATAATAATCTTGATAAAGCTGAATCTTATACAAATTCTAAATGTTTCTCTATATAATACAAGGAGTAATTCTGCAAACAAGAAAACAAGATTTTGATAAAAGGATAGCCCGGTGCACTAAGCACCCGCTATGCGCGTGGTTCGGGAAGGGCCGGACCACAAGAGTTTATTGTATACAATCTTACTCTATATTTCTGCAAAAGACTGTTTCCACGGCTCGAAGCCGTGACCATACGCCAAGGCTCCCTTCCAAAACAAGATTCTGATGTATGTGGAAAATTTATACTTGGGAGAAGTGGTGGCCTTTTTAATCCTTAGTATGAAATGAAGTTAAACTTGAAAAGAAGTTGTACTTACAATCGTCAGTCCCAATACCCCACTCACTTTGGCCTGTTTATATGTTCATCACTTGGCACTAAGTGGAAGTGGATCTTTAATTTAACTTCTGCTAAACCATTTAATTCTTTCACAAAGTAAATAGTCAAGAGTTTTTTTTTAATTAAATTTCCCAGACCTCTGTCTGGGTTATGTTGTATTCCAAAAAAAGCGCAATGAGGAGGGCTATACCTTTTCCTAAGAAAAATAGGACAACGGTGATTACATCACCCCAAAAATAACAGGAGAGGAGGTTCATATATAAGCCCTCCTTCCTGGGAAAATCTATGTACATATTAATTGACGAAAAAAATTAGATTTTTTGTACTTCGTCCTTATAGTCAAGAGTAATTAACCTAATTGTATAGTAATATTTTTACTGACCAACTCTTCAGTATTATGTGTGGGTGTACGAAAATGTAATGCATTCTGTCTTTACTTTCATCATTTGATTCCTCAATCTTTTCTTAGTGATATCAGACAATCAATTATATATATCAAGTTCATAGACTATAAATGAATAAAGCAGATTTTCTTTTTATCACTTTCGAGGAATTTCATGACTCAAAATTATTCATTACTTTATTAATGAATCTTTATAATGCTCTAAGGTCGTCAAAGAAATCTTCATTTACTTGAATTGTTCTACAAGTTCATTAATTCTAAGAAAAAATCTTAGTATATGTAGTAAACCAATGATCTAGTTTGTTTGGTTTACGGACTAGTTATACAAGAATTATTATATCGTGAACTATTATACTAGTTGTAAAATAATTATAATAACTCGTGGAATGTGATGTTGAGATCACTGTGTCAAGTGGAGTAGCATTTTTGCTGTATTACTAATATACATATTCTTGTTACACATCCTATCTCATATAAAATAATATATGAATATCTATATAACTTATGCATGCATATTAGTTTTTATACCACAATGAAAACCAAATGTTTTCTCTCTACTCTCTATAGTTGAACTTTCTTACTTATGATGCGTTGAAGAGTTTACTTAGTGAAATCGAGTGAGAAGAAAGTACTGAAATCGGATGCCTTCCCTATCATCCCGTGTCTCTACCGGCTTTTCTCTTGTCTCCAAATCTCTCTTTTGACATTGAAACTAATTTGATATTAATAATTTCTAATTTTTGCGCCGTTATTGGTTTTTTTATGCAAAAAAACCCAAATGAGCCTTAAAAGAATCAGCAATATTCTGCATCTTGCGTTTGCTAGCAAAAGCTTGATGTGGAGCCATTTATCATTGGAGTCTCTTAATATAGACTATATATGAATTGAAACACCACCCTTAAATTTTGAAAAAAAAACAATTCTATAGTAAAAAGGATTAGAACACAAACAGGCGGTATAACTTTGGGCCTCTAAACTATAGCTTATGAGATGGTGATCGCTCAAAATCATACAAGGAAACAACACGTTCTCTTGTTCAATACGAGACAATCTAAGACCTCCTGGACGCCCAGACAAGATTTATTGGAACATGGATAGCATGACATAGGCGCGCATTCAACATTGGATAAATTAAGAATAGGGATGAGTCTATGCTAACGGCTATGTCACCATTTTAAGAGAATGAAACTTGGGCGTAAATTAAGTACAAAAGTTAGCTCATGGGCAAGAATGGCTCAAGAGACCATATGAGAAAACAATTCAATCAAAAGTTGATGAAAAAATTGGAACTTTTCTCAACCAAATATATACATTGGGCTTAATTAATGCTTTAAGAGTGGTAATCTTGTGCAAGTTGAGAATCTTATCCGTGGAGTCCTAGAGCCCGTTTGGATTAGTTGATTGTAAAGGGAAACTTACACAAATGTCCCAAATAAATCTCAACTTACCAATCTCTAGCCATTAGTTATAGACTTATCAAAACTAGCCAACAAAAATTGAAAAACCAAATAATAGGGTTCTTTCTATCAAAGAATCACATGCAAAAATCACCTTTCATATTTTTAAGCGTAATTAGCAATATTACATACAGGACGGAAAGGAAATTTCATGGACGGGGTAGCAAATAAGGTGATGAAATACAAAAATCTATACAATATTCCAAAAATCTAAACAAAAAAGGAACTTTTTTAATGGGTATAGTTGAAATTTATTGAAAATATATAGATAAGTCAATATACAAAATTTGAGGAAGATTGGAGGTGATTTGGACTGGTTTTGTATCAAAATTCGTAATTAAATCTAGTTCAAAAAAGTCTTCTGTGATACATGCATGTATCACGCATGTATCTCACACACAGGTATACATGGATATATATGTGATACACAATTGATACAAATATGATACATATGTGATACACAAATGATACACGATGTGATACACATATCATTTTTTTTCATGTTCAACTTTTACTTCGAATTTTCAATTCAAACCACCTCAAAACTTCACCAAATCATCCCAAAACTGAGATTCAAGCTCCTTAAGTTGTGCCCAATATATTCTAATAATACCCACTCAAAACAAAGCAAAAATTTGATACTTTTTTGCTACAAATAGCTAATTGGCAGATTTGGCTAATATTAGTAATATTTTAAAATTTGGCCAATTTTTGTAATGAACTACTACATAGCTGATAATTTTTTGATTGTAAATAGCTGATAAGATTAAAGTGCTGAAAAGCATTTTTAAGTGGTAAAGCTGATTTTTTAAATAAGTATTTGTGTTTGGATAGACGTGCTGAAACTGATTATAGGCCGTTGATGTGTTTGGTAGAAACGTGCTGCTAAGCTGTTCTTTTATTAAAATGACTAAAATATCCTTAAAAAATTTATAAAAGATTATGAATTAAAAAGTTTCATTGTAATGAAAAGGATGAATAAAACAAATATGGATTGAAGAAAAAGTTAGGAAATTTATTTTGGGAAAAATATTTTGTAAATTACAAAATATTATTAAAGATAAATTAGTAAAAGGCTTGGTCAAACTAAAAGTACTTATAAACTGAAAAGCCATAAGTTTGGGGGGTGACGAGAGGCAGATCTAGGATTTCTAGTACATGGGTGCATCACGAAAAAAAAAAAAGAGACAAAAATATACCTAGTGGGAATTGATACATGTACCTTTTGGTAAACACAATCTTCAACCAAGTGCACCATTCAACCTTCTTGGAGCAAGGGTACCAACAGTTAATATTATACCAATTTTAGAAAATATGTACATAAAATATCTAATTTTATAGAGAGACCATGGGTTCACGGTCCTCATAATTAAACTTATAAATCCGTCACTGGGTGACCAACTTATTACTTATGGCTACTTTTAGCTTATAAGCACTTTGGGTATTTATTAAATGCATAGATAAGCCTAAAGGTACTTATAAGTCAGTTTGACCAGCTTATAAGCTTAGCCAAACATACACCTAGTTAGGTCAGCTTAACATGAGCTAGACTTAATATCTTTGGAATACGTCTTGTATTAAGAATGATCTTTTTGTTCAATCAACTTGTATTATAATTTTTGAGGAGCTAAGGTATCATGTCTAGGGGCGGATACACCTTAATGTGACACTGTTTAATCAATTCTTTTTATTAAATATGTATACTGATCACGCCCAACTATACCTTATAAAAAGGATAAAGCGGTCGCTGCAAATATATTCCGGTTAATAAGTCCGGATTCGAATTCCACAGGGAATTAACCTAACAATCACAGCTATTGGACTCACAGATATTCACGTATTCAATCTTCAGAGATATTTAAGTAACAGATTGGATGCTTACTAACTAAATATTACGAAATGAAAATGCAGTAATTAAGAACTAACTATGAACGATTTTAAATAAGAATTGGAAGGATGTAGGATTATGATTTTCCCTATTGTGGGAATCCTTTCCGCTACGTTTTCTATAAATTTGCCTAAGTCTTCTCTATCGATCATGAGCACTCTGACTGTCATAACTCTCTCCCGAGTAATTACAATAATATACTAGACATATTCTCCCGAATTACGCTTGCTAGCTTTAAGTACAACTCACTTAGAGCGCACCCAAGGTTTCGTTATTCCTAATCTCACCTTTAAACCCTTCGTATTGATCCTTCATATACGTTAGGAGTGATGATATTTAACAACTACCTAAATATGCACTCTCTCCCGAGTAATGCACACTAAATAGAAACAGCTAATTGAGAGCCCTTCAATCAACATCAATAAGCATATAGTTGAACAAATAGAGAGAATACTATGGCAAATCTATATTAACATAACGAGAAAATCATCCTTCAACAGGTTCCATCAAACCCCTAGATTAGGAATTTAGCTACTCATACTCATACTAACAATTTTCTAAATAATTTGCATAATTAAATGATAAAGTAAAGATGAAGGAATGAAGAATTCGATGCTAATCTCCTCCGGAAATTGCTCCAAACATTTTCTCCATTCCAAAATAGTCTCCCTAGGTCTAAGATATGTCCAAAAGTCCACAAAATAACATTTTTCCATGTATATATACCAATGGGTCGGGCCCAGACGAAAACACCTTCTCCTACACGAAATAGGACAATCACTCTGTAAAATTTGTACAGGCGCGCCGCATGGGGCGACTCATTGTGCGGCGCGGCAATGAGGAAGTTAAGAGAGCTGTTACCTGACAGACTGTTGGAAAATTGCACAGATGCAGCTCACTGTGCGGCGCGACAATGGGGAAGTTAAGAGAGTTGTTACCTGATAGACTGTTGGAAAATTGCACAGATACGGCGCATTGTGTGGCGCACTTTATGGCAGGGTAGTTGGAATTCGCAAAAATGCAAAACATGAAAGTTGTATCCCTTTTGAATAGCTTTTCAACGATATATTGTGGAGCCCAAACGGAGTTCTGACCGAAAAGTTATGTGTATTTTACTAGACAATGCACCGTATACCCGCTTGATTCTTCGTTTTGTTCTTAATTATCATCCGTTGATCCCCGAACACGATCCCGGCTTGATTCCTTGGGCTTTTACTCATACTTCAAAGCTCTAAATCACTTGAATTCATTCAATTATATCTACATAGCTCGGAATCACTCCTACAAGGCCTAAAATACACAATTTAGTGCAAAACACTAGCGATAAAGCTCAAACTCAATTAAAGTGCAATACATTAGAGTGTAATAAGAGATTAAAATACGTAATTATAGCATATCATCATATACACAGACAATAAATAAAATAAAAATATTAAGTATAAATATAAAAAATGACACATCTTGTCATTATAATGATTTATTCATTTTTTGTTTCTTCAAATATTAATATTGCTTACGGAAAATCCTGCATACGCTAATGATATGTCTCCTCTTTCATCTATTTACTTTTATTTATAAGCATACGGATAGAGTCTAAGGTTTAACACCGCATATTCTTATTCTGTTTCATCTTTTGTCGTTTCAGTACTAACAAGACAATAGAACGTTATCAGAAGAATGACAGGTATCTTGGACCCAACAGAAAGATAGCTGAAATACAAACTACTGAGGTTAGCATCCTCTTTCATTTTTGCAAATACTCTACAAATACATCGTGTAATATAAACTAAGTTGGTGTATTTTTCATGTGAACATAATTATACATGTTGCCTTAGCAATATGCATTTTCTCCTTTCGTTTATCACGTCGCATGTTGTAGCAGGTACTATATCTTACTTTCAAAATTACAAATCTCAAATTTTAAGAAGGCTTACCTAGATGATCTGATAGTATAAAACATTATCCCAACTAACGGTGTATATACCTTAAACTCCTTTATTTAAGGTAAGAATTGAAGTTCCATTGCAGCGTAATGAAAATAGGCTGTCTAAAAATGTAGACAAATTAGTTATACAACGTACTGAATTTTTTTATTTTTCGACTATAAAGATGGATCCAATATCATCTTAATTTTTATAGTAACCTAAGATAATATATTAATTCAAGGAAAGCAATTTTGGGACAACAAGATGCTCTCAATAAACATATAATGATGAAGTTCCCTCTTGAAACTACCAACTTTTATAGAAAAGGAAATAGTAGTGTTCATTAGAAGATCTATATATCACTTTTGGAAGATGGCGCAAATGGCGCTTTATTTTAGCAGGGTTGGTACACATGATCATCTTTTTTTTTTTTTGTTTCCCGCTTCAGATTTGGATCTTGTTAGGCTAAACTAGACCGAATATACTCTTAACATGATTTGATATTATCCGCTTTAGGTCAAACCCATACGATTTTCCCAAAAGGCCTCATACTATTAAGCAATGGCGGTTAAAAAAAATTTGTGGCCTAAAACTAAAATATATTAAAAGGCTCTTAAATTTTCATAAGCTCTATATTATAATGAGACACAAAAGAAACCTACATGACTTTGGTCTAGTGGTAAGAGTGCAATACGTGACGAGGTTAGGCTCACATCATGATTTCAAACTCTCCCATGGACAATAGCATGATATTTGAAAAACGGCAGAGAGTTGGGCTCATTATCCATCGATTCGAATCTTGTGCAGCTGCCCTCGAGAATTTCTTAATTAAAAAGATAAGACAAAAAAGAACTTTCTTTCTGATGCATGGATCAATCAAATATGACAAAAACAAATAGCTAATTCAGAGAATCCGAATTGAAATTAAAGAGTGAAATTGTCAAAAACATGAAGGCAAAAAAGAATACATAAAGAAAAAGATTAGAATTGATGGGAAGGTAAATATACCATTTAATTTAATAAGAGAGAAAATTTGTGCTTATTTACTCACTCAATCATACAACATCAAATTTAAAAATGTAAAAATTTGAAAATTTCTGTTAATAATACTTGTATAAATTATATGTTATATATAATACTAATATACTACTAGTATTTTATAATTTTGGGGCCCTTAATATTTGCGGGCCTACGGCAAGGGCTTCATCTGCCTTACCTTAGAGCTGCCCCTGCCATTAATTAAGATATTTCTACCCCTTATATGTAGTCTTTCAATTTTTAATCTACCAATGTAGCATTATGTTTGCACACCCAATAATCTCCCTCTCGAACTAAGTTCCACGCAGCCCATCACCATGATCTATGGGTCTCCCCCTTATAATAAGTTCCATGTTGCCCATTACCTACAATTCATGAGTCAATTTTCAAGATTCACTATGTGCCACACCCACATTGTCAGAGTATTTATAGCAATCGAAGCATGTTACTAGATTCTTCTTATCTGTGTGCGTCAAGCTCGTAAAGGTAAGCAAACCGAGCCTCGAACCACCACTTTGTCAGCGTCATACTCGTCTCATCTAACCTAGGCTGTAATATCAGTTGTTAGGCTAAACTAGCCCGAAGATACTTTTAACTTGATATGATATTATCCGTATTGGGCCAAGCCTCCACGATTTTTCCTAAAAGGTCCACACTATTAAGAGATTTCTACACTTTATATATAATCTTCCAAATTTTTAAAGTACTATAGTGGAACTTTATTCGCACACCTCTGTACATTGATAGCCTCTTGTTCAATGCATTCCCTTAATTTTTCAATACTATTACACATGTATATCCGTTAATGGGTTCAGAATGGATATGGACTACTTGTATTTGTTTACATATTTTAAGTTTTTTTTATATGTATAATAATTACGTTGTGTTCAGTTGAACCCATTGAATTGTTCTAATTAGATCCACCTGTGCTATTAATTACTACAAACATTGTATGCATATGTATAGAAGGGGAGCCTTGGAGCAACGGTCAAGTTGTCTACGTATGACCTATAGATCATGAGTTTGAAACGTGGAATCAGCCACTGATGCTTGCATCAGGGTAGGCTGTCTACATCACACTCTTGGGGTACCGTCCTTCTCCGGACCCTGCATGAACACGGGATACTTTGTGCACCGGGCTGCCTCTTTTTTTTATTTTTTATTTATGTATATGTATAAAACTACGAATGCTTGGCTAGGAGTATGAGTTTCTTGTACCTAACAACATGTTGCCTTGTCGTGTATCTTAGTAATGCTACTGAGAAATACCCTTATTTTGTGTAGCATTTGAAAGAGGAGGTTGCAACAATGACTAGAAAGCTCGAGCTTCTTGAAGATTCAAAAAGGTTAATTGCTCCTAGTTTGTAGCACAATATGGACTCTGCAGAATTAAACCAGCAAATGGTTCTACTAATTCTTTCTGCATTATATATTGCAGAAAGCTTTTAGGACAAGGTTTAGATTCTTCTTCCTTTGATGAACTTCAACAAGTAGAAGAACAATTGGAACGAAGTTTAAGCTGCATTAGGGCAAGAAAGGTGCATAATATGTTGCTCTCTCTCTCTCTCTCTGAATTTTAATTTTCCTTTTCTTTTCTCCTGCTGGATGCATAAACTAGTGAAGCTTTAACATCTTTTTGTGTCTGAGTTTATGCTTTATGCAGTAAGGGCTCGTTTGGTACGAGAGATAAGGGATAATTAGTCCCGAGATTAAATTTGAGATGAGTTTATTCCACATATGTTTGGTTGGGATAAAGTCGTGGTATAACTAATCCCGGGATTGTAGATTTTTTTAATCCTTATGGGAGGGTGGGATAACTAATCCTATGATAACTAATCCCGAGATAATTAATCATGGGATATTTGTTTCCCAACCAAACGACCCCTAACCGTGTAAAAGATATTTACAATCATGTCACTTAAAAGATACTACGTAATTATTAATTACAGAATTTTTTTTTATTGTTAGTATTAAATTATGATACTCTGGAAAAAATAATACCTAATCTACTATTATAGGATAAACGACATTGATAATGAAAAAAAAATGTTTATACTTCTCAATATATATGTAACTTCAATTCTTTTTGTTTTGTCTCAGAACCTATTACTCAGGGAACAGATTGCTCACCTAAAGGAAGAGGTACATGCATATTTAATTTAATATCCATAAAAGTAAGAACTGTAATTAATCCAGTTGGCTTACAAAGTATAATGTTTCTATTGTCTCAGGAAAAAATCCTAATGAAGCAAAATGCAGACTTGAGAAAAAGGGTGAGATATTACTTGAAATATTTGCCTACATGTCAATATTGTTTATTCCTGCATCTCTATATGTTTAAGCTTTGGTTAAGACTGGTTAATGAAGTTGGATTAATTAGTAGTAGTTTGTTTGAAACACTCTCCAGGAAATTAGAGTGCAATGAAACATTAAACTTAAGGGCAATTGTGCTTTTGGTTCTCAAACTGAGCTGATTCTTTTTGTAGGATGATTCTACATAGATGACTGAATTTAGTGCTTCCACTATTTAAATTAATAGAACTGAAAAAAACTTAGTGGGCATTTGGACAAAAGAATTGTGAAATTCCGGAAAAAGATAAAAAAAAAATTTAAAGTTGAAAATGATATTTGAAAATTGGAGTTGTGTTTGGACATGAATATAAATTAGAGTTGTTTTTGAATTTTTGTGATCGATTTAGAGAGAAAATTATGAAAATAGCCTTTTTGGAGTTTTTCGAATTCCAGAAAATTTTGGAATTCTACTTCAAGTTGGATTTGGAATTTTTATGGCCAAACCTACTCCGAAAAAAGATGAAAAAAATATCCGGAAAAAGGTGAAACTTTTTATGGCCAAATGGCCCTTAGTTTTTGGACATTATATAACTAAAAGTTGGAAAATTAAAAATAGCATCCTAGGTTGAAGTTGAAAGAGATGTTCGGTGTATTTGAAAATGAATTGCACTTGAAAAAGACTTTGTTAAAGTTAAAGATTTGTAGGTTAAGACCAGTATTTCACTTAAGATGTACATTCAGAATAGTATTACTTTCAATATTTCATTTGAGGTTATTTGCATATGCTCAAGTCCATCTTAACATTTGCAGATACTGAATTTCAGTATTTGTAAATACTAAAATAATATTATGTCTAAATGTACAGCTAAAGATAGCTCCACAAATTTTGACTTTGCTAAGATTGTCTAATACCCGCCATCATCATCTATACCAAACCTGAGCACATCCTTAATTTATCACTATATCGAACAACTTTTATCCCTAAAACTCTTGATGATAATGATAGTACAAGAGGGGGTAAATTGTCAATTTTTGCTTTTTTTTTACCCGACGTAGTTGACTAGTTTACTAATTAGTCGAGTGAAGGTAAGAACAAAATATAAATAAAGCAGAAAAAATATAGGAATCAAAGACACCAGGACTTTTAACTGGTTCGGATTTAATGTAAATCCTATGCCTAGTCTCCTTGGGTTGCAAGGGTGTTCTCTTTCAGTACGTATTTGAAGTTTCTCGATACAAGAGAGTTGATGTAGCCTTACACCAACAACTTAATCACTATATCATTTTTCGCTTCTTGATACAATGCCTCACCAGTATTTTTCTTTCTTTCTTCTCTCACTAGTGACACACATTACTAGAAATCCGGAAAAAAGCGATCAAAGTTGGTCGCTTACAAGTCACAAAGCGATCAAAAAGCGTTCAAACTGGCTTGGTCGCTATTTTGTTGGCGACTAACTTTGGTCTCTAAGGTAAAAGGGCCAAATATTCCGGGTAAACAATATACCGACCAACTTTGGTAGCTTTAATATTTTAATAATATAAATTTAGCGACCAAAGTTGGTCTCTATATTTAAATTACGTTTTTTATGTATTATTATTATTCAAAATATAGCGACCAACTTTGGTCTGTAAACCAAATATTATATTTTAAAATCTGGAAAATAGAGACCAAAGTTGATCGTTTTTTTTTTATAATTTTTTTAAACATAAGCGACCAAAATTGGTCGATAATTTCAAGAATTTAATTTTTTTTAAACATAAGCGACCAAAATTGGTCGCTAATTTCCAGAATTTTTTTTAATAGAATAGCGACCAAAGTTGGTCGCTTTTTAGGAAATCTGGGTTAATTAGCGACCAACCTTGGTCGCTATTTCCCAGAAAATATTTTTTTAAAATAGAAAAACGACCAAAGTTGATCACTTTTCTGGGTATAATTTTGACAGAAACTGCCTGTTTTGGCAGCTACACCACCTGCCAGCATACTAAATTCCCTAAATAACAATATAATTCAATTCATAAACTACAATTTCAATACCAAAATCTCCACAACAATCCAACAACAACACCACTACCATAACAACAACAACGACACAATTCAAAAAAACACATTAAAACCAACAAATTAAAGTTTAATAGAACTAACAAATTAAACTAAGTTAACGCTTATTACACCTAGTTCAAAATCGTTTCTATTTGTCTAGTTCAAAGTATATAAAAGTCAAGGAGTGTTTTGTACAACATCATTATCATCACCGTTTGATGAACTTTCATCAACAAGACAGTATACAGAAGGGTCTACTTGTCGAGGACAGGAAGAACGATCACGGGGAGGATGGGAGGAACGAGCACGGGGAGGTCGAAAGGAACGCTCACGTTCAAGTCGAGCCATTGGCGATGACTCACGAGACCGGGGAATCGGAAAAGCTCTAGAAGCTAGGATAGATTTGAGCTGCTCTTGCATGCCCTGGTACTGAGCTTGCATGCCAATGTACTGAGCATCTCTAAGCTTTTCTCTTTCCTTGGCCGCTTCTAGCTCGGATGTGAGCTTTGTCACAGTCTCCCGCATAGCGGAGAGGATCTCCCCATCAAGTTGCTCGCCTTGCGAGGAAGTCCCTATTCCTTGCATTCCACACTTATAGCGATGAAATATCTTAGTAGGAAGCCCATATACCTTCTCCTATTTTGGATCGCCAGCAGCCTCTGTCCACATTCTTCCAGCATCCTCGTCTGAAGGTTGGATTGGCGCGCCCGATTTATTAGGTGGCTGACTGCGTATGAATTCCTCCACGTCAGTTGTGAAGTAACCCTATAAGAAAAATTACATTGAATTAGTATTTTAAAATTTATATAAAAGTAAATCAAAATACTTAATGAAAAGTGAAAACTTACATGTACAGTCGAGGCTCGGCCCTCGACCCACCTTTCTTGATCCGTCTCTTTCTTCTTATTTACAATATGAATCTCCTTGAATAGCTCATCTTGGTTCATTGGATGCCCCAACTTCTTTTCCTGAAAACTCATAAATTTTAGTTAATAAACAGAATAGATATACTTTGAAATTAAAATAAATTAAGCAATTATGTACCAATCTTCTTTTTATTGTCCCTAGGATGATTGCACCTCTAGTGTGCAAGGATCCTCCCTTCTCAGATGCGCGAGCTTTTTTTCCTTTTTTGCTCTTCTCTAAGAACTTTGTGGTAAGCCATTGCCTTTGCAAATCCTCCCATAAATTCTGAAGCAACCAGTTAGGCTTCTGGTTCAACTTTCTAGTTTTGGAGAAACTATGCGACAACCGCTTGCGAGCTTTGTCATGAAAATTTGCAGTCGCTTCCACGCTATAGCGGTGTTCCCATACATACTTGCTCTGTATTTCAAAAGTTAAATATTATATAGAAATATCATAAATATAATAATTATACTGCTTAAAAGAATATTTATACCTTAAATTAATTGAAAATTTGCTCATTCAGCGAGAATGGGAATTCACTCCAAGTCGCATAAGGGCCATCATAAAGCTTTCTGGTGGCTTTGGTGATTATTCTCGTAGTAATATTATTCGGGATGAACCTGCAATTTAATAAAAAGAACACATTAATATCTTAGTTCAAACTGTACAAAACAATAAACGTAAAAATAACAAATAACTCTTACACATCACTCTTAGGGACTATGATGATCCTACCATATTGATCATAATGCACCTCCTCGTCATCATCAGCATCACCGTCCGAAGAATGTATATCAGA